TATATTTGGTAAGTTATGATATTGTTAATTTACTTATTACATATCGGCTTGTTACACGATCCGTTAATACATACAAGTGTAACCAATGGTTAAAATCAACTAAACTAGACGATGACGTAACAAAAACTAATTTAAATTAAATAAAAATACTCAAAAATTAACAATAAAAGAATACAATTTTATACATAGACACAGTTAATAAAATATAACATAATATATTTCTTAAATAATGATAATGTATTTCTCAATAATTTTAATGTATTTCTTATCTTAAAGAAGACCTATTTCGAAAAAATTAATTTTAGAATTGATAGTGCCGCATTAGACGTTAAAACGGAATAATAGGAATTACTTTTATGACAGCGCAATCCAACACGATTCTTTATAAATGACAATCCTGCAAACGTAGGTTAACGACCTGTGTGATAAAAAAAAGCTGCTGTGTTGCAGTCTGAGTGGTAAAGGAGCCAGTATATTTACAGGCTGGGAGACATTCCATCTTAGTACTTAGAGGTTTCAATGTTTCAAGTTAATTACAGGTGTTCACGGGCTGCAGTAGTCACTTAGCATCACGTGAATTTAATTCGTTTGCCATTTCGGTTTTACAAAATAATACGGTTAGGTTTCCTGACAAGCACACGAAGGGGTGCAGACCGGCCGAGCGTTTGATTGTCAGATAGTGGAAGAGAAAGGCAAGAATTAAATTACGCAATTCCCGGGCACATTCCGAAACGTATCATGTAGAAAACCGAAAGGCTGGCTGCTTTGCGCCTATGTACGAGACTGTTGAAATTGGTTTAAGAAAATCTCTATATACTCTCATAAAATGCGCATGATTTACACGAAACTTCTGTAAGAAATTCTTCAAAAAATATTTTATGTAATTTGGTGTTTTTAACACCAAATTACATAAAATATTTTACATTACAGTGGAATCCGTTTATAATGACATCGAAGGGAAATAACAAACACGTCATACTAAGCGGACGTCATATAAAGCATTTTGTAGAAAATATACAATCTCAGGTTTTTGTTAGTATGTATTTATTTTAATAGAGGAAAATCTTTAATTAAAGTAACTTAAATTCTTAATAATAAATTATTGTTTTTAAAAATCATTGAGATTGTCGAGTGACCAACCCCAAATTCCCTTGTGAGAGACGAGTTGGATTCTCCATTTTCTAAACTGCACGTGCACTGACGTTGAGATTTCATTTTTTTCACAAATCATTAACAAACAATCCCGTGATCTTCACAATCAATCAATTACCCACTGAGACTCAAAACAAAAAAAAGCCATGCACGCGCCGAACGTCATCGGGTATTAATTGACTCTCCTGAACACTGCCGAAGGTGTTGGGATTTATATCGGTCAATATAACCGTACACAATTTAGTAAAAATGGGTCACAATAAGTGACATGTCACTATAAGCGAAGTCATTCTATCCGACTTTATTATAAGGAATTTTGTATGAAAACCAAACTTCGCTGGTAATTACGTCATAATAAACGGTTGGTCAATATAAGCGGAATCATAATAAACTGATTCTACTGTATTTTTTAGTTTTACGCGAATACACAGACGTGGATTTTGTTTTATAATTATTTAAAAAAAAAGTACACTTATTACTATACAGATCCATAAGACTGACGTATTGTTTTCGGTTCCCAGTTGCTCTGTGCGAGGTTTATTTTAATGTAAAAATCGTATTATTTTATTCTATTTTAACTTTCTGTTCTAAGTCTAGGAATTTATCATTTTTCTATTAGTTCTAACGAGATATATCCCTTATATCCAGATATTTTATTATATTCATGAAAAATTATTGACTGGTTGATAGATTACACCTCCAATACCTAATAATAAATATTTAGTCCCTTTATACATTATACTACACAATCAGAAACAATTTGTGTGTTTGTAATTTTTGTGTAATTTTAGTATAAAATCGTGATCTTGCTCTAATTTCATTATTTATGTTAATAAATTAACAATAAAATTAAAGGTAATCATTATAAAGAAAATAACACATAATTTAAAATACAAAGTCATGCATCGATATATATTTTACTTTTTTAATTTTATGTACAGATTTGATTCAATAATTTATTAGTAAGTAGTAGTATTTAAAACATTATCTCCACATTAATATTTGCTCCTGTATCGTGGGAATAGTTTACATGAATAAATTTCACAAAGAGAAACATCTTGATCTAGATCAATTATTTGTAGGATTTAGTCCGTGCGAGATTTGAACCTGTGGCCCTTAGCGCTGCAACTCATTGCTAAGCCATTGCGTCTTGGTGCTGTACGTTACACTTGAGTTGCATCACTGTTAATAAAAAAAAACATGTGTGCAGTCACACGCGCTAAAAGTGAAACATTCAATGAAATGAAATATAAAATAAAAATATTTCACGGTAAATGATTTATTCAATGTGATAATTGAAAATTGCGAAACCACAAGTGCGCCATAAAATACAAGATAAAAGTCTAATTTTATAGCAAATAAATGTTACAATCCTTATTAATTTTAGTGTAATAAATTTAAAGAATATGTTCTTACGAGTAAAATTGCTTTGTAATAGCGCCATCTACTTCATTCTATATGTAGTCATTTAAGTTGACTCTCAAGGTGGTACGTAAAATAGACGCTAGATGGCCTAAGCACGAATAATTTAATATAAATCGTGGATTATTGTGAATGGATTGGGTATGATTATTTTATTCACTATAGTTAATTTTATTTATTTAATATATTTGTTAATTCGTTTATTTTAACAGTTATAAGTTATGTTAGCCATTTTTAAAGCACCGCACTAGGGGAGACCGTAATAATAACATAAACACTGTATACTGTATTCCATCTCATTCTCTCGCAGGCTAAATCCTATAGACATTTTGTTTGTCTCTTTTTCACAACGAATCTAGGAACAACGAAGTTATTATTGCATCATCCCATTATTATAGCGCCTCCATTTTTCGTTTAAAAATGTATTTGTTTTGCAGAACAGAAATTAATTTTAATTGTTTTTACATATTTTTACAAGTAGAGGCTTTGGATATCATTAAGTATAGCACCATTACAAATAAGTACATTGAGACACGTTAAACAAATTAATTTAACAAGGTATGATGCAAGCAATTTTAAGCCTTAAAACAATGACTTAAAGATTATTAAATAGACCTTAATTAATTCGTTTCACATATCTCATATTGATTCTAATTACGTCATTATTATTTACTTACAAACATCAACAATTTAAGTACGCGAGATATAAATTCGGTCATGGATTCTATCCTCTATATACTATTATAATACGTTAACAATATTTTACATGCACATTTATGAGTGAGTTGTATTTATCGTGACAAGAAGAAACAACAGATGAGAACTTTTGTATCTAAACTTAACTGTTGCTTTTCGACGAGCAACCAATGTAAAAAAAAAATGTACGAAACAGGGACTGGTACAGTTTAAAGAGAGTTCCTATCGAAAATTGATGCGAAATAGCTGCCTATTATTTTTTTTAAACAGACTACAAGGAACTCTTATTTCAAATCAACAAAAACTGGTGCAACACCTCTACTTAATATAGCCCACTTCCACTTCTAATTTATTACAAGTGTATGTAACTATCCATGAACACACCAAAATGAAATGTTTATATTATTGTATTTATGTATACGGGTATTATGTACAATTGTTACATTATATAATTATGTCTCCATATATACATATAGGGAGAATATTAGTTAAGGACCGTCTATAACAGAATGATCAAACGAAGGTCTGCAGGTTTAGCAAAGTTGAATTTCTATAGTCGAATGTCAAATTGTTAACGCTAAAGGGATACTGTAAAAATCAATGGGAATGACGATAAGTCTCAGACTTAACGTTGAGACGTGTCATAACCATTCATTTAAATAGTTTTCCGTTAGCTTTAACGATTGTAGAAAGTCAACTTGGCTAACCTTGCTGTATGTATACTAAATGTCGCAAATCGATGGTTTAACCAGCCAAATTTAATTACGCGACTAGTTAATTATAACGGTTAAGCTAATAGAAAACCAGCAGCAGTAAGACGTGTATAGACTGTAACTTTAACTTTAAAAGGGCGCTAGTAAGTTTAATTTAGTTCCTTTTTCTGCCACTCCGATGTTAACGTAAACATGTAACGGTGCTGTGAAAATGTTAACGACAAAATCATGGATATGCCTATAAATGTGCCAATAGAATATAATTGTAAACATGGCCCCAAAAACACTGACATTAAGTTTAATCACATAACCATTTCTAATAATTACACTAACTCTTGTATTAAATGTTACCTTAAGCAATGGCGTAGATTATTTTAGACATTTTCAGCGTTTAGTTTAAAACCTAGTCGCTGGCTGATTACAACATCAGACTGCAACATAAGTCTTATATAACAAATTATCGAGTTATTTTTTGTACCTTAATATTCATAATATATATATGGAATATTTTAGTTATTCTTCTCGGTGCATTGTCATTAGAATGCCTCATTAGAAATTTGCTTATAGGCTATCCCTAAACATGACATTTCAAATGGTTTTTTTTTAATTGTCTATCAATGACACAATCTGTTGTAGTCTATTGAGAAATTAAATGAAAATGGAAGACCGAAAATTGACCACATACCGAGTGAAGGATTCTTAGATGTTGACTAAATCAATTGTTTATTTTTAATCATCACGATAACACAAGCACTTAACAATAGATTGAACAAAAATTAAACTTTAAATACTAACATTGTCACTGATTGTCGAAATGGGCACACTGTGATCTTTTATGTTGTGATGCAGCGGACAAGGGGCGCGTCTTGTGCTTCGTTTCGTTCTCGAACGTTGCGGAGGTTTAAGTCTTCTTTGGGTGTTTGGATTTGAGTGGAACTTGGTTAAGTCACCAGCCGATGCTGATTTATCGAACACTTTCCGGTAGCTCGCGGCCGCTGGCTTGGGCTTCGGTCGGTGTCAGTCGATGACATGTTTTATCTTCACGTAGAGAATGCAGGAGAAGAGGAAGCCAAATATCGGTATGACTGACATTCCCACTCCAACAGCAGCGAGTATAATCAGATTCTCACGTATATGATTCGTGAAAGGAGCTACGCAACCCTGAAATAAATGTGTAAGTTATACGATTTATGATTTATACTGGGGCATGCTATAAGGATTTCAAAGATATTTAGGTAGTCCCATGTATAGGGGAGGAGGAAATGGCGTCCCACGTGTTGTTGACACGTCCGGAGGCTAAACATCTCGACACGCCAGGATCACTTCCCGAAGTTGCTCGCAATATCAAAGGACTGTTTAATTTCTTTAGGGAGATTTCATGGCTCGAATAATCATAATATTGATATGGAGTTGCGGAAAACAGCCCGTCATAAACTAAACTAAAATAAAGGTTTTGAATTCCAGATCTTCAAGTTTTAACGGTTTGTGGTTTCTAACAAGAAAACTAATGCTTAACTACTATCCTACCAATGGTAAGCGGTGATGCAGCAGCAGATGGTAGCTTACCAAAAGCATATATTCACTCTTGTCTTGAAGACTCAAATTGCATTTTGGATTTGGATAAATGTAGATGTCTACGGGCCACAGCAACCACTTACCGTCAGGTGGAATGTGTGCTCGTTTGTCACTCTATCCTATAAAAAAAATTAATCAAATTAATTCACATCTGACCTTTGATCAGCTCAAGACCTTTTTATAGAATAAGAGTGACAAAAGAGCACACAGTTCACCTGGTAGTAAATGGATACTGTGGCCCATAGACATCTACATCTATCCTCAGTTAAGAATCAAAATGCAGATGCGTTGTCACCCTTGAGGACTAAGATGAAATGTCACGTTTCCAGTAAAAAGGGTCTCCGGCTTTATGTCTTTCCAGTAACTCTCGTGTCTCTACACTCACCATACGGAGACCCCGTATACAAAACACAGCAGCATTAAGCTGCTATTTTACGTTGGTATTCTGTGTAAGCAAGGTCCTCCCCCGGTCAAGGTATTCGTGCTACACTGGCTCTACCACATATAAAAAAATAGTTTAATAAATATTATCTCTATATTAACTTTGGCTATAATATAGGTTAAAAAATCGCAAAACAGATAATTAACGCTACAACAGGTTCAGAAAATTGTGGAATAAATTAAACTGGTTGCTCATTAATAGCTTCCGTTGAATGGTGATATTTTTTTTGTATGTGAGCAAATATCCAGAATCGAAACAATTATTTGTAGGCCATACAAACACTTGTTCCATGCAAAATTGTGCTAATGTACACGAATCGCTTAATGAGCCGTGGTAGCTCAAGAGACACTCACAGAATACCAACTTAAAATAGCAGCTGAATGCTGCTGTTTCGTATGGCGAGGTTAGAGAACCCGAGACCTTTTTCACTGTAAACGAGGCATTCCATCAACCCATTTGTAGCCTTCTATGTTTGAAGTTAATTGCAAGTATCCATAAGCTGCAGTAGTCAATTATTATCAGGTGGGCTGTAACTTCGTTTGTTATTTCTATATTATGTAAAAACAGGTGCATTCTCTAGTCCCTCACTCTCATAATCCGATGGGACAGCAATCCTTTTTCTTTTTCTTCTTTACTTTATGGCTTCTATTAAAAGAATTCTGCCAATGTCAAGTCAATCATGGGAGTGACAACAAAGTAAATAAAATCTTTTTTTAGATATTTTTTTGTGTATGCCTTCTAATCTACAAGAAAAAAACTATACAAACATTTATAACTCTACCACCAACAATGATTATTATCAGTATAGATAAAATCAAATAAAATACGGACAAATGAGGAGAACACGAGAGACAGCAGACAAGTGGAATTAGTGGGACGTGGGATGTTTTGGGGAAAGATAATCCATGCAAGGAGAACCTGAGTCGTGGACATTCGAATAATATGTGATCGGTGAAACCTTCATCAAGATCACATTCACATAAAGAGTTATCCCTTATCCTTAATTAGGCTAGGTGTACCAGTGTGCAAGAATGACCGAAGCGAAGACGGCAAACGATTGATATAGTAAATTTGTTGGCTTCACGATAATGGAAAAACCAAGGTTTGTAGGGGATTACGTCTTGAACCCTTTTGGTCTTGATTTAGAGTGAAATGAGCTGGAGATAATAGTTTGGAGACAGCCAAGAGTCAGTGAGAATTAAGGTGTTTTCCAGGTTCTGGAATTCGGCATATAGAATTGCCTCTAAAATGGCAATAGATTCACATGTGAAAACTGATGATTCAGGTGGGCACTTAAAATTTAAAATTATTATACAACATGTAACAAAAACCCTGTGGTTCCCGTTGAGTAGGTTATCTGGATCAGTATTCAAACCTATAAAGATAACTTTTTTTTAAAAGACTCGATCATAATTTTTTTTAAAAATTTATGTGGTTTTATTACCTTTTATTGACACTAGCCGATGCTAGGGCTAAGTAAAGCGGGGTCATTGACAATCCTCTTACTCCCCAGACAATGCAGAGGTAATAAAACCACATGCAATTTGCATAAAATTATTTTTTTAAATAAAATCAAAAAAATATTGTTCGAGTCTTTAAAAAAAAGTTATTTCTATATGTTTGAATAATGATCCTGATAACGTACTTAACGGGAACCACAGGGTTTTTGTTACATATTTATTATTATAGTATATATAGGGATCCAAACTGCAGAACCTACAAATCTTTGTTAGAAGTCTTTGAAGAGTCTGTGTACATAATGATCCAGTCGTGCCAGTTTTCTGAGGTGATTTTCTTTAATTTACTATTAGGATCAATGGTTTTCTTGTCAAGTCCAAGGTCAAGGATGTCATTTGGATTAAAAACTAGCGCTTCGTAGGTAGGGGAGAAGAGTAAGTTGATGCTATTTTGGAAAATTGGAGATTGAATATTTACGAACTTTATATAGCTTTTTAAAAGGCATGGTATATCTTTATGTTACCAGTATGGGGAAATTTAAATTTGCTGATGAAGTGAGTGTAGTATATGGAACACTCGACGCTCGACCTGGAGAGCATTAGTGGGGGTAGATTTCATGTTTCCTATTATAATGCGAAGGCATTTTACTTGAATTTGATCCAAAGTTTTAAGCGCACTCTTGTTGCATGATTCCCACAAAAAGGAAGCATAGTCGAAATGGCTTCTTATTAAAGCAAGCAAAGAGCTTTTGGGTGTAAGGATGAGAGCCCCCCACCAAGCTCCTGATATAGTGCAAATAACGTTAAGATTTTTTTCGCATTTGGAAGCTACGTAGGATAAGTGGGGAATTCCAGACAATTTATTATCTAGCATACACCGAGGAATTTCACATGACTCACATTGGGAATCAATGAGTCTCCAATAGAGATTGACACTTCTGGGATGAGTCTTCGTCTCGAAAATACCACGATTTTACTTTTTGGGGGGGAGATGGATAAACCATGTTCTGTGAGCTATTCTTGGAGGTAATATACCGCACGAGATAATCGTGAAGAGGCGTCAGGTAAAGAATGGTCAGTAACAAAGAGAGCCAAATCATCAGCATATTGGAGTATGTTGGACAGACAGTTTACGTATCTATCTAGATCATGGGTATATAGGTTATACAGAAGGGGACTTAGAACAGAGCCTTGTGGAAGACCTTTCCAGAATTATCTCTCTGACTTGAAATTACTCTCTACACGTCTTCCTGAAAAAAGGTTTCACACAAAGTTCGTTGTCCTTACAGGAATGTTCAGCTGATACATTTTATGCCTGAGCAGCGGTAGTATAACATTATCATAAATTGCGCAAATATCTAAGAAGACGCTTACAAGGAAGTTGTTTTGAGAAAATGCAAGTCTGACATTGGAAATCAAAAGGCTGAGGCTGTCAAAGGAACTCAAACCCTTTCTAAATCCAAACTGGCTTTTAGGCAAGATGCCTCTATTTTCTAGTAGCCACTCTAGGCGTTTTTTCGACGAGGTGCTCCATTATCTTTGATAGAGTGGATGAAATGGCTATTGGACGGTAGCTAGTGGCTGTAGAGGGTCTTTTCCAGTTTTAAGGATAGGGATTATGATATGGGTTTTCCAGTCATCAGGAACTGTTCCTGTTGAATATACACAATTAATTATGTCTTAGAAACATTTTTTGGATGTGGGGCCCATGTGAGTAAAAAACAGTAAGGGGTCCCGTCGATACCTGGAGAGGAGTCCTTTAGATGGTTTATCATCAACTCAAGCTCTGAAAGGGAGAAGGTATCCTCTATGGAAGGAACCCATGGAGGAGACAAGCTGCTACAGAAGTATTCTATCCAAAGTGAGGGGCCAGGGTTATATATTTGGCTATCATTGAGAGAACGTAAATCGCTTTATGTTTTTCGAAACAAGGGAGGCTGGAGAGCGAGGTGACAGACTCTCACAAAATAAAAAGCCATCCTTCTTTCTTCTTCTCCGAGAATGTTTTTTTGACTTGAGCAGCTATTTTTTATATCTTATAAAGTTTGCCATGGACATATTCTCAGAGTACTGTTGTTCAGTATCTTTGAGTTTTTTTTACAATAGAAGAGTTATGAGAGCAATTTTTAAGTGTTGTAAGTTATTGTGAGACACTGGAGGGAGAGAATGAGTTTTAGTTTCTATATCAGAAAGATATACATCCCAGTTCGCTTTGGACACGTTAAACTTGGAGATGAATGATTTATTCCTAGTGGCAATGCTACTTCTATTAGTCAACGATAAAAGGATAGGGAAGTGATCACTTCCAAAGGTAGACGATAGAGTGCTTCAATTGATACTTGCGACTATTTAGTTAAATTAGCAGAATTATGACTTTGGGAAGGGTAGACCGTGCGGGTGGGACACCCATTATCCAAAATGCAAAGATTAAATGCATTGAAGACGTCTATTAATAGATAGGAAAAATAATAATTTTTATGATAACCCCACAGTACGTTGTGACTATTGAAATCCCCAATTACAATTAAAAGAGGAGATATACTAGATAGGATTAAGTTAAGCTCTGGGATACAGGCAGGAGTAGGATTGCAAAATTATATTTACACAATTGTGACGTCGACTACTTTTACAGCTGTTGCATTAATATTCTCTTGCAGAGGGGGAAGGGGAATTGAGCAAGAGGTAAGATTTCTATTTAAAAGAATCATAGTGCCGCTTAGCCATCGCTGCGGTCGTCACGGATGCAGGAAAAAACCAGGGATTATGAATCTAAAACCTGGTCTTAGCTAGGTTTCTGCAAATCAATGACTGAGGGGTTATGAAAGTTTATCAATTTAATTAGTTCAGATAGAAATCTGACTAGAAAACTGACTGAACAAGAATGTTCTTAATGCGCCGATAATTCCACTGAAGGATGTGGAGGCGATTGAATTTTATATATTTTTTGGAAAAGCACATCAAGTTTATTTCTCACGTTAAACGATAGGTGCATGTCGTCAAATTTGCCAATTATATCAGAGATGGAGGACACAAGGTTTTCCAGGAGATTATAACATTAGGGGATAAATTAGCTTGAAGAGCATGACCATTTGGAAGGGAAGAGTTAGGACTTTTTACAATATTGTTGTGTGCTACCTTATTATAGCCTACAGAATTTGGAACAGGTCTAGTTGAGTTAATTCTATACACAGTCTTTCTATAAGATTGACAAGCAGGAGGAGCAGAGTGAATACTTGGATAATTGTTGTGATGAAGTGGGTAGGCAAGGAGTCCCTAAAGATGCAGCTACATCAGCGTAAGGTCTTCTAACTGCAGGGAAGCGAGCAGATGCCTCTAGATATGAAACATTTTCCTGGAACATGATCAGTTTAATGCCTTTTTGTCTTGAATGTTCAGGGCAACTTTTGTCAGTTGCCAAGTGATTAGCAGAGCAGAACAGGCATGTTGGGATATCTGTAACACAATTATCTCCAGTGTGCTCTTGAGCACTTGAAGCAGTGTGGTTTTGATCTGCACTGAGCTTTTACCTGTCCAAAGCGACAACACTTCTAACACTTTCCAGTCCAGAAGCTTGAAAAGGGAGTATGTAGGTTTCGACAGGAACTGATGTGTAAAAGCAGTATTAGTGAGATGGAAGCGCTTGGCCTGAAAATGTAAGGACAGTGGTTTGGGTAACCACTCACTCAATATCATCACCTTTCTTTTCGATGTTCGAAAAGTAAGAAAGGTGACGACTCGACTTTATAATTTCTTCTCTACCAGGGGGTAGTTCCGACTCGCACACCAACTCCTCCATGGAAATATCGGCAGGTATCTAGTATCAGTATCTAAATACACCCATTCTGGTAACATTGATGGTTGGAATGACTGCTGATAGTTTGTATTTAGCAAGAAAAGATGATTCGATAAAGTTATTGGCATCTGAAGCAGTTTTAAAGGCTATTGAGACCCTGTTACGACCTAAATTTTTTATGCTTTGTTTTTCAATATTGGAAACCTTATTTTGGGATAGATTATGGCCGATCTTGACAGGTCGGATTATATAACCAGATGAAGGATCGGGTTCTATGCTTATATATAACTATACGCTTATGGTGAATTGTATAAGGCCTTTTATCACTATCTGTCTTTTTTATTTTCTAAAAAATCAGGGTGGGTGTAAATATTTTGATATGACGCTGATGGCGTGAAGATCATGACCAACTTTTTTTTATGAATGCTTGGTGTTAAGTCCGTACATTTTCGTTTAGAGAGACCGAAAGCAGACGGGTTTGCTTTATCCGGTGGTTCCGAATCCACCCCGTCGACGTGCATCGTGTTAGTTAAGAATACATAAATTAATTAAGTATCGCTACTTACCAGCCAATAAGTAATGGACAACACAACTCAAATTTATATAATAACAAACACAGAATACAGCAAAAATATTAACGAAGCTCAACACAAAAATATATATCCGAAAATCGCTGAAACACGTGTGACTACCAATCACTCTGACAGCAGAATGTCGACAGCAATCCTTTGGACGTTATCAGAGACATGGGGGTAAAGCACTATTAACTTCCTGAAATCGGACTGCTTTTGAGAATTTCTTGTCAGAAAAACCAAAATGGTATTTTTGGGTTGACCTGATTCAATCTGGGACCAGATGAACAACTGTTGCGCTAAGACCACCAGACTAACGAATCAGGATGATGGTGCACGAGTGCTGGCACAGCGCAATCTAATAAGATAGAACGCTCATCTCATCTCAAGTGGTATAGTACTCGTACTCAAGCACTGCTTTATAATAGTTAAATAAATCCTGTTCTGAGCAACTGGCTGCCGTGGCTGAGATTGGACCCAGAAGGACATTATTATGTAAAAATCAGATCAACATGTTCTATACATATTTTTAATATGGACAAAAGAAGCAGTTTTTATTGTGCACAATCGTCAGTCCGCTCGATAAGACCTATATCTGCATCTGTCTCTCTCTCGTATGGTCTTGTTTATGGCTTGATGACTATCAGAATAAAATGAACTGACGGATTCCTATTACACTGCAGACTAAATATATAACTGTAGGATAAGTTTTATAATTACATGATAATAAATATTTGAGGGATGGTCGCGCATTCCGCAGCGTGATGTAATAGTTTTGCAGCACGAGTCGGGCACGAGTAAGCGTGGGTCGTGTCCGTGCCATGCACTACGTCGCCAGTCTGAATATCGCAATGCGCCACAACATTTGAACTGAAAAAAGAAAAAAGTTATATGACATCTGTGTTGTCAGATCTAATGTCGCTTTTTAAAAATATTATAGTCCAGGAGGAATCGGCGCATGAGTACCGCAAACTATTTCACCTAATTTTTTTTATGCGAATTTCTTTCAATTATCCTACTAATAATATAAATGCAAGTTGCCACGGGGCAACTCGGTGCGATATTGTTTAAACCGATAGTTTTGCAATTGCAAGGAATTGTTATTTTCAAACGAGACATTTTTTTATATTCTTATAAAATCTCTTCAAATAAAAAAGTTCCTATGATTTTTTTACGATAAAGTTAATATTTTCGGAGTTTTAAAGGAATTTTGAAAGGTTCGGAAATTCGGATACTTTTTACCCATTAAAAATATATAAACAAAAAGAATAAAATATGATTGAGGTGGAATAGTTGTCGGTACTCATGCGCCAATTCCTCCTGGACTATTAGGTTTAATTTTCAATTTTATTCAATTATTTTTTTTTAAAATATGATTGGTTATAAATTTGGTATTATTTATATAGATATAATTATAAAGTTGGAACTTCTAATTTTTTTAGGAACTCTTGTTAACATAAGTTTCAGGGCTTTTAAGTTCTAATATTGAAAAAATTAAATGTAAATAACGCATTACTTATTAGATAATGTTTTTTTATAATTGCTTTATGGCAAAATAATCATCTAGTGGCGGTGTAAGAGGCAAAAGAGGAAAAAAACAGCAGATGAGCAGCAACGTTTCTCTAATAACTAGAAAAGAAACTGCGGTTGCCAAACCGTTGGCCAAACGTAGTAACTATGGCAAATATTTCCTTTATGAGGCATTCTACGGGGAGGCTTATGTTCAGCAACTGACTTTGATAGCCTGCAATTAATAAATGAATAAAGTAGCAAATAAACAGCAAATAAAAAAAATACCCCAATGGTTGACAGACGTGAGAGTTTATATATGTATATTTTTATAAATGTTGTTTACATTTAAACCATCATGTGCAGGCAATTAAAAACTGATGGCGGGCGTGGGCTTTCTGTACCTATGTATTTTGTGCTTCGTTCTAGTGGTAAACGCGATTGATGATCATGACGTCCCGGGTTCGATTCCCGGAGACTGAAATTCGGTCTGGAGGACATTATTTTGTGTAATAGGTTCTTCCTACTTTCGTTTTTTTTTTATCGCAGCATAAGTGTTACGTACCTCTGACTGCATCAGGTCTACAGCATCCGTGACTATGACATCTAAAGCATAATTAGCGATGAACGTGTTGTTAAGTTCTGCCTTCAGCTCATATTCGACGGCCACCTCGTAGTAGTAAGCCAGACCGCCTGCCCCCGCCTCCAATATGAAGGTGAACAACAGGAAGTATGTGTACTAGAAATACAACAACATATTACATTATACACTATGTGGACAAAGGGACTAGAGGCGGAAGGTAGTGTAATAATCAAGTTTTAAATGGTTTTAAATAAGAACAATGTATATATAACATAATGACGGCTCCGTGGCGCAGTGGCTTAGCAATGAGTTGTTGCGCCGGGGGCCGGGGGTTCGAATCCCGTCCCGCACGGAACAAGTATTTGTATGGCCTCCAAATAATTGTTCCGGGTCTGGATGTTTGTCCTCGTGCGATTTATGTTTGTAAACTGCCTCCATTATACAGGAGAAAATCCTAGTGTGGGGGTAAAGTTTTTTAAAATAAATAATAAAATAAGAAATAAATAATCGGTTTCTCAAAAAAAAATACTTACATAATTTTATCAATTAAAAATACTATTCCTATTTTAATTTAAATTTTATTTGGCCTTGTAATATATCACATTAACCAGTTCTCAAACATAGAACTTATTTTATTACAGACATATGAAATCCGATTTTGTGATCATCATCATCATTAATTACAACATTTCAAAGTCCACTGCTAAACAAAAGCTCCCCCAAGGAATACCACAAAGCATGATCCTAAGCCACCTGCACTGACGAGTCGTCACTCTATCTAGTGGGCGATATTAGTGTTCCCCCCCCCCCCTTCATCCCTAGAATTACTTAATACCAAAGACGAATTAGCACTTTACAATAATATAAGAATATACTAACTACCCTTTAATAAAATTACAACGCTATTCATATACTCATTTTAACGGAAATTATGGTTAACATTATGTTGAAGATAAAGAATATTTCTTTTTAATTTTTACTCATTTGTATTGATATAATATAAAAGAAAAGCATATTGTACTTTTGAAATGATAATACCATGAGTCACACACCAAAGAAAGAAGTTAAATGATAAATAATTTCTCAAGGTGTTTTATTTGTGGCCTTGAATGACGTATTCAACTAGTCGTAGACGACTCAGCTGGTGATAACTTCACATTATGTTAATAACACGTAAAGGAAATTTATTACTCTATCTAAGACATTCCTTGCTAGAAGAAACCAAAAGTAATGCCAAAAACAAATTTATTAATTATTATACTGCTAGCATTATTATTTGGTTGCGCAGTGCCAGTGTAAGAATATCCATTACCCCATATCGTCCCATGGGGATGGGCAGCAGCGTCTTCCTGAGAACAACTCAAAATTATGAAAAACTGCAGTTGCCAACCCTCCTACAAAGTGTGGCGGCTATGGCAAAAACCCGTCTATGAGGCAATCTATGGGGTAGGCCTATGCTGAGCAGTGGAATTTTATAGGCTGTAATGCATGGATCGATTACCAGCATTAATAAAATATGTATTTAATTTTTTTTAAGCCAAAACTATTTTTATACAGTGACTAAAATTTATAAAGATACTCACACACAGTATGCTCGTCCTGTTCTCAGTTTTAAGTCCACAACAGCCTAGTGCACATAAAGGCACTCCCATGCCTCCGGCTATAACAAGAAGGTATGATATAGCCGGGTATGTCGGCGTAGGCAACAGCGGTACGAATCTGTGCCTAGATGCTACAGTCCAAGCACCGATGATTAAAACACCAATGCCGGCAAACTAGAAACAAGAAATTGCAATATTAAAAAAAAGTTGTGATGTGTTAGTTTGGGTCAGTGTCAGGTTGGTTTTCGTAATTTCACGACTATGCACGTATTATGCATCATTGTGATGAATAGTTAAATACAAATTTTATACTTTAATAGTTTTCTATGAAAATATATTAACATAAATTTTGTATAAAGACCATCCTTTCATCAGTCAATATAAGTCTAATTCTAAACCAGCGTAAAATAGCAGCTTAACGCAGCTGTGTTTCGTATGGTGAGTGTAGAGAACCGGAGACCCTTTTTACTGGCAAAGAGGCATTCCATCTTAGTCCTCAGGGGTGACAACGCATCTGCATCTTCAGTCTTTATTGAGATAGATATAGATGTCTATGGGTCACAGTAACCACTTACCATCAGATGGACTGTGTGCTCGTTTGACACACGATCCTATAAAAAAAAAATAGATAGACATGGGCCTTATCCCATTGTAGGAAGAGTCACACTTGTTGGGTGGATTGACTATAGCAGTATCTGATGTCTCTAACCTTTGAGGTTGCTGCCCAATGTCAAATTACTTATTGATAATACTAATAAGTGATAAATAAATATAAAGACATTCTCTACATAGTACAAAATAAAGTAGCTTACCACCGTCTGTATGCTTAGATCTTCTAAACTACGCAACGGATTTTGATGCGGTTGTTATCAATATACAGAATGATTCAAGAGGAAAATTTATATGTATTTTATGGACCGATTTTGATGAAATTTTGTGTGTTTGATTGATGATGAAGTTGATTGGAGAATAGTTTTGTTTCACAATTGACTCGGTAGGTGGCGTTGTTGTCGAGATCCAGAAATCAACCGTTCGAAACAGCGGCGGATCGTTAGTTATTAATAAATAAATAAAGTACAAGTAAAAGTAAAGTTTAATATATATCATCAACAGCATTACAGCTCATCACAAGTCCACTGCTGAACACAGGCTTCCCCCAAGGAATGCAATGAAGCACGGTCCTGAGCCACCTGTATCAATCGACTTCTTCCATCTCCTACCAGGTCATAACTCCATCTAGTGTGTGACCACCCTATACTTTACTTACCAGTACGAGGCTGTCACTCGAGTAACTTTCGCTGAATCAGTTTTGCGTTTTTTGAATTATATGGCCGACTCAATGCCTCTATAACCTAGTAGAACATAATGCTGGATTTTTTATTAACAGTTGGAATAGGCAAGTAAGTGGTACCAACCAACTCAAGAGGAGTCCTACCCCTAACACTTGTCAAAATTTGCTACACTATTTTGATGATAATGACAATTAATTTACCATATAGTGGCAGTGTAAGAACATCCACTACCCGATATCATCACGTGGGTGTCGTAATAAGCGACAGAGGGTAACTAAAACAGGAGATGGACAGCAACTTCTTTCTAATAACAACTAAAATAATTTAAAAAAAACTGCAGTTGCCCACCCACCTGCCAAGCGTGGCTGATTCAGAAACTATTTTTGTTTTACAGAAGAGAGCCATTAGAGCTATGTACAACCTAAAACCGAGAGTCTCTTAGAGATAAATTTAAAGAAATAAATATATTAACTTTGGCCTCTCTGTATATTTACAAAAATTTAATGTATGTTCAAAAATAAAGGTACTTTTAGTAAAAAAAGTGATATACATTCTGTAAACACTAGGAACAAACACAAGCTAGTGATACCAGTTTCTCGACTCCACAGAGTCAGTAATTCATTCTTGGGGCAATATATACGCTATTACAACAAGGTCCCAGAAAGTGTACAGGCTCTCTCTATTACCAAGTTTAAATGTTTTGCTAAGGTGAAACTGTATAAAAAGGGTTATTATAGTATAAATGAATATATGGTTGATAATAACCACTGGGAATGAGGTGGTCACTTCCAAGCTGTTTCTAAAATAAATTTTGTACCAACCATTAATGTAAAATATGCTTTAAAAAAAAGTTCCGCTGGGTTTCTTGCTGGTTCTTCCCAGGACAGAGGTTTTTTTTCGAACCAGTGGTAAAGTAAAAAATGACTTTTAATAAGAATTACACATGTGATCTATATTGAATAAAAAATTATTCTATTCTATTCTATTATCTTTTCAGTAAACATTTTTACACACAGTTATTTTATTTACTGTTAACGATACACCTAGTTAATATTATTCTAGTTCTTACCAGAAACACAATGTTGAAAATATGCAGAACACACTTGAGGAAATTGACACTGAGACAATCTGCGTCTCGGGACTTTCGTGGCTTTACTTTCTTCTTTGTTGATATAAGTGCACTTGAATCCTTCTTCTTCTCTTCTGCCATTGTTGAAAGCACTTGTATTATTTCCTTTGTAACAAGTTTATGTGGTCAGAAGCGACTAAATACTGCCATATTCTTTGCCACAATTCTGAAAAGAAATACAATTTTATAAATATAATTTATGTTAAATATATATATATTTATATATGAAAATATTTTAAAATACTTACACAGGATCAGATTTAAAAGGTTATAATTTTGAGCACAATATAATAAAAGAAAACTTATGAACAATTTTATCATTTTATTAGCAGGGCTTTAGTAAAAAATGGAATAATAATACATTACAACATACACAGATAATGTCAAAAATTGACTCAAAATTAGTTAATTTAAAAATAAAATATGTATAATTGATAAAAAATATAGACCACAGATGTATGAATATAAAAATATGTACAGTATAGCTAAAAAATAATCAATAGTATGTATGTACGACAATCATTATTATTTTACATTCAGTCCCTTATTTCATCACAATGTAATTCATTCATTTTTTTAATGTCCTACTAATCCTTTGGATTATATATACATAGTAATAAAATTGTAATACCAATGAATAATGCACATAGAAGTAAACAATGGCTATTCCTTTTAAACATACACTTTCTAAGAGTTCACATAAATTCCCTCAATCATGTAAATGTGGAGCGTTACAAAAGTCCATTTCAGTCCAATATAAATATTAATTAATCATCATAATGTTGTAATGTGTTTTCAAGTTTATCTACTACTCTCTTGTAAAAGTTTATTTGCTGCTTTAGAAACTTTTGCATTGTTGCTTTTAAGTCTATAGTTCTCTCAGATTTGAAGTGATTTATTTCGGCAAGTAAGGCATAAGATATAACATCGGTCCGTCTTAAAACTTCATTCAGTTGTGCTATCTCCATTTTATGTTCTGCAGTTAATCTTTCACATTCTCTCTTCTTTTGAACTGCTCCTTTGTGATTCGCTAACACTTCTGGAAACCCACCAACAATACCTTTATATAAATGGAATTTGTCACCAAGTGGCTCAAAATCATATTTAGGTTGCTCTTCATACATTCTACCAATCTCAATATAGGCACCACCAGTCATCTTTATCGCAGAAGTAAGCTTTGATGTAGATACAATTGTTCCCTCATCCAAGCTTAGAGCATTGCCAAGATTGTAAAAGGCCTCTCCAATTTTCTGGCAGTCACTTTTGTATGGTCCTTGAAACCTCTTGGTTTGTGCAACACACATATTGGTGACAGATTTGACTGATGTATCCATGCTACTTATAAATGTGTAACATTGTTCTGTGATGTGGTCCACTTGTGATTGCAGTAAAGCTTTTTCAGGTACAACTAATGATATACAATAATTAAGGCCTAATAAGTTATCCCTTTCAGCTTGTCGCTTACCAGCCTTCCAGCGTTTCTCATCAGTACAGGTAAGGAAATGTTGCCAAACTTCACATTTAGATAGCACTGGATGTTTACACATCCAGTCCACAAACTCTTGAAGTTGAACTCTTCTACGTTCAATCAATTGTTCATCATACCGCCCTGAAATCTGCTTATCAGGCAATGGAGGTATTGGTATTAATGAAAATTTCTCCTGTAATCTCTCATGCAACCAATCAAAATGCTTATACCTCCTGGAAACTTGTATATTATTAAATGATGGTGTTAACTGATATGCAATGAAGCTTTTGATTCCTTTGAATTTTGATTCCTTTTTTGGCGAAGCTACAGTCACGGAATATGGCTGGGCTATTGGAGACCAAGCATAACCATCCTCATCTTGTATAATATAAACTTTTTCATGATCTGGCACTTCTACATTTAATGTACCTAAAAGGTAACTTTCACCACTGACTTTGGAAGAAGGTGCAAATTTATTTTTCCTGACTGTACCTACACTAGAACCAAAATTAGAAGCAGTATCATCTATATGGTGGTTGTAGTCATTGATTGGCATTCCTGGAAGTGGTGTAAGAGGTTGTTGCTGATTTAAGTTTGCTTTGATTTGGTGTTGGGCACCTGGACCAATTTCTGAGTATGTATCATCATCCCAGTCATCATCCCAACCATCATCATTTGAAGTTGTACGCTGGTAGTTATTGTCACCGGCACTATACTGTTGTTCACCCCAATCGTCTGCCGCTTGATCATACCTGGGTGCCGCTGGTGCCATTTTTGTGGGCACTGAATCTTCTGGTGTAAGCTTTCTTACATATGCTGCAGGAAAAAGTCCAGTTTCCCCTTTTGAATTCCTTCCCTCCCACCATCCTTCACCAATTTCAGTATTTAACAATGTAAGTATTTCACCACAGGTTATAGACATTTCAGTAGTGCCAGGCTCACCCGTGAAGTCATACAGTGCTTGCACTTGGGTCGTCATGTTGAGACCCTGTTACCTACAACAATTTAAAAATATTATTATTGCTATTTAGTTCATAACATCTATAAGTATTAAAGTATGAGATGTGTATTATCTTATCTATGTTATCTATGGAGTTAGGAATATGCAGGCAGCTTTAGCAAATACCTATATCGATAAGAGAATACGGGTTAGATATAGAATAATAACTAAGTAATTCATATAAATATAGAGCGCCATTAAATAGCACAAGAAGCTGACACATTTTCGTAATAGCTCCAATTAAGGACGGTGGTAATTGACGAATATGAAACGATGTTTATTATTTCATAGCTACCCAGCATTCTGTAAAGTGGGCAAATGGTACTAGTTATGACGAATACCATTGTTTGTACTGAAATATAAGTTTTAGGGCTTGAAATAATATCGCTTTTTTAAAACATATTTGTTTATGGATCTGCCTAGTACTAATAAAGAGGATTATTTACAATTTTAAGAGTAATAGTAAATATAACATAAATAATAAGTTGAAACAAAATAACTAAAGAAATACTTGTTTTGTGATGGAAATTAATGACGTCAATTTAGGGAGTATTGCTGTGAATAAAATCTCAACCAAATAATGGCGTTACATAATAGTTTAGCATAATTCAAAAATACTATATGAAAGACATTTAAAAGTTTGTTCTATTACTTACTTTTGTTCACACTAAAAAAACAATTAATTTCAAGGCGGAAACACTGCTCATACAGTCATCTGAATGACAGATTGATTCGAAAGAATTTGTTTTCGTTGAATTGTCAGTTCTCGATTACGTGGCATAGACTATAAAATTATGAGATTTCATTGGATGTTACACTGAGAGGTTATGCTACGAACCAATAGTTAAACTGGTGTTAAAATCAAAAATCAATTAACGAATCTGTAGTGTAGACAGAGAACGTTATATTATGTCTAGTGTCTACGGTCGAACCAGTCGGTCTACTCTCGACAGAATCGAGTTCTGAATCAGAACCAATAGAATTTTATTCGAACTCAAGATAATTTCGTACTCCGATGCCGTAGCTAGCGCACAACCGAATGGTGCATAAGGGCTAATAATCTTCGGCTCACTAGATGTCACTAGTTGAGTTTTTTGTTACGCAAAGTTTTAAATAAAAGTTAATCAGTTTCTAGAGTATATTAATACATACACATATATACGGGGTTTCCCTGAGTGATAAATTTAGAAATGAGGATATCCGCAGAAGAACCAGAGTGAACGATATAACCCAACAGTTTAGAAAGATGAAGTGGCAATGGGCCGGCCATATAGCTCGAAGAACCGACAACTGATGGGAGAAAAAGGTTCTCGATCTCGAAATAAAAAGTACTTTGTATTTGCTCCGTGCTCGTACCGGTAGGCTAAGTGTAGGCCGACCCCCAACTCGATGAGTGACGACCTGGTAAAACATGCAGGAAGTCAATGGATGCAAGTGGCTCAGGACCGTGCTTTGTGGCATTCCTTGCGGGAGGCCTATGTTCAGCACTGGACTTGTGAAGGGCTGTAATGCTGATGATGATGAGATAAAATAATGCCTCAATGGCTTGCTCTTTAATTTTTTGAACATTTTAAATTTTTCTACTTTTATGAATTTCTGTGGTTTGGTTAATATATTTTTAATCTTATTAATATATAATATTTAATTACTGGTACAGAAAGAAACATTATCCTTTACATTTTCCGAACAAATTAACATCCCACTATGAAATCTTTCAAAAATATACGCCTCATTTTTAAGTAGCGCCGCCCTGGTGTAAGAAAAAGTCGTGGCATCCTTTATTGGAGTTATCGGAACAGAAGCCTTCAGCTGTCTGCCGCAAGATGGCGCTCGTAGACGCAAATGACAAGAATCCTTTTTGATCTGTTTTATTAAAATGTTTATTAAGTAAATTTTTTATTGAATAAAATAATCTCCGGATAAAAAATATCTACATGTGTCTGATCGTAACTCGACCATGAGTCAATGATCAATGTAAAGAAAGAACGTCAGTTTGGAGCGAATTCGAAATTAATTTCGGGCCTGCAGTTCGTGGTAGCATCACTTTATTTTTCGTCCACATGGGCATGCAACTTAAAAACATTATTTTATGAACGAAATTACAAAATTATATATTTTTTTGTGCTTTCATCTACATTTCGAAACTTAGGCTGGACTTATTTTTGTCACTAGAGGGCATGCTTATTATATTCATTTTTTCTGCCGACTTCCAAAAAGGAGACGGTACTCAATTCGACTGTATGTTTTTTTTATGTGTGTTACCTACCTCATAACTTTTTACTGGGTGAAACGAATTCGATGATTCTTTTTTATTTGAAAGCTGGTACTTCTCGTGTGGTCCCATATGAATTTTATCGAGGTCAGACCAATAGTTTTTGAGTTATTCTTAATAACTTATATTGAAGTCGGCTTTACAAAATTTTTAATTTTTAATTATTAAGTATGTACTATGTTGATAAATGTTAAATGATCGACAACATAATATACCTATTTTATTAAGATATCAAAGGTTTACGTAATTTACATCGCCATCTATTTAAAGTACTTTAGATAGATGGCGTTGTAAATTACGTAAACCTTTCATAATCTATAATATAAAAATGAATCGCTGAATGTGTCGCTAAGCGCAAATCTCGAGAACAGCTGAACCGATTTCGCTAATTCTTTTTTTATAATATTCCTTGAAGTACGAAGATGGCTCTTACGGAGAGAAAAATTTAAAAAATTGCATGAAAAGTCTAAAAAAACACTTTTCTATATTCCCATACAAAAGATTATACTTAAAAGTCAATTTGAACTTTAATACCATACTATAAAGTTTAAGTGTTAGTGGAGGGGTTCCGGGAAGGCAAAACAATTGAGTGACGTTAGTATCGTATAAATATTAATGTCAATATTTGTCAATATTTATACACACTGGCAGATAGCTGATGTTATAAGGAGTAACTTGGGCTGCTTTTATTTTAGGGTTCCGCGAAAAATTACTCCACGCGGGCGAAGTCGCGGGTAACAGCTAGTATCTTAATAAAATAGTTATATTATGATGTCGATCATTTAGCATTTATCAACATAGTACTTATATACTTAAAATATTTATATAAAAGATTAATAAACATCGTTAGCGGTCCAATTACATTACAAATTTATTTACAAAATTAAATTGTGTGCGTTTTCCTATTAAACTCAAATGAAAAAAAATATACCAAGTGTAATTTCTCTTTGGAGTGATGATAGTAATATTTTACATGGGGAAACTTTTGGTTTGTTGTTGTTGATTTCGTTATTGTCGTTGTTGTGGTTGTCGTTGTTATTGTTTTAGTAAAAGCTGATTGCTGTGCAGTTGTTGTAATTCTAATAATACACCGTTATAATAATAACTATAGAATTAACATAACGTCTCTCTAGCAGATTTCCAACTAGTGGCAACTTTCTATTAATCAGAAGTCATCAACTAAACCGTGTAAATAGCCGTATAAGTTTAGGAGCTTAGTGCCCGCAGTAAATTTCGCAATACACGAGCAGTCTGGCCTGGGTTCGACCCAGGGGCGTAGCTACCGCCGTATCAGCCGTATCAATGATACGGGGCCCCCGGGCTACAGAGGCCCCGAACGTATGTAAGCAGAAATTCTAAGGACTTCTATGGGACAGGATGTTGGTTTAAATTGTTTTGTTAGCTTAGTTCCTAGTAGTATTAATTGTAAGTAATAACTTATAATCAATATATAATTGTTTTAATTGAATGCGAGAGTTTTTTTTCCTTTTGTGAAAAATCTTTACCCTTCATTTGGGCCCCCGACAAATTTTGATACAGGGCCCCTCTAAGGCATGTTACTTCACTGCTTCGACCCCCGCCGGCACCAATGAAATTGTTAATGACCTGAGAGGAGGCCTGTGCACAGCAGTTGGACGTAAAAAGATCATATCTTTAACATCTACTATACCGAAAAAAATTATGACAAGTTAAAACTGTACGGGCATAGTAGTAAGTATTTATAGGACATAAGTAGAAGACTTATTCAAGCATCGGCGATTATCATCAGTCATGATTGACGGGAATGCAGTTGATATTACAATTACACTGTCCGGTCAGTCGGAAGTAATCTTTGTCATAAGAAAATCTTTCCTGTGAAAAACCTAAGAATTCATTAAGTTACGTTTTTACGTGGTAGAGCCATGCTGCAGCTATATTAGTAGTATAGTTGTAGCACGAATGGGTCGATTAGACCAGGGAAGGACTACGCTCTCACAGAATACCAGCGTAAAGTAGCAGCTTAGTGCTGCTGTGTTTCGTATGGTAAGTGTTTACACTGTGTGTCAAAAAGGGTGTCCGGTTCTCTAGAACCTGAGACCCTTTTTGCCGGAAGCGAGGCATTCCATCATAATCCACACGGGCGACAACGCATATGAATTTTGATGTGTAGTCGAGAATAGATATAGATGTCTATGGGCCACAATAACCACTTACGATCAGGTGAACTACGTGCTCGTTTGTCACCCTTATCCTATGAAAAAGTTAATGAGTACCTACCTATTAATAAAAAAGCTAGCATTGCTATTTTGATTGCTCTATTGCATGATGAGGGCAAATTTGACCGATTTTTTGTCTTGCCATGGACCACCAACATTTACCTATATATAATATAAACTGTGGTATTATTGTTCATTTTTAAGTTTATTGTACTCGTATAAGTAGTGACAACCTGGTAAGACATGCAGGAAGTCGATGGATGCAGGTGGCTCAGGACCGTACTTTGTGGCATTCCTTGGGGGAAGCCTATGTTCAGCAGTGGACTTATGAAAGACTGTAATGATGATGATGATGATGTATAAATATCACACATACAAGAATTAATTTAACATGCCTTAAGTGTGCGCCCATTTATTTTAATGTAGACAGTTACTTCTTTCGAAGCTTCCTTTATTGTATATCTTAAGGTCTTGCCGAGAAATTGTGTAATTATGTCACCAGTTCTCTTGCA